TTGTTTTGTTTTGTTTTGTTTTGTTTTCCTTTCTTTCTCTCTTTCTTTAGTTTATATTGTTAATTTAAGTCATACGTTACTCACTCACTCGCTAATTCCCTTGGATCCATGACTATCCATTCCTTTTTCAACCATTCCCAAGAGAATTGAATAGCAAAAGACACAGCGGCCATGTTGGAGGATATAACAATAGAATTCATTGACAATTCCTTGTTAAAGTCCTCCAACATGGCCGCCATGAAAACCATCACTAATTGCTGTATATGCGTTTGTTCTTCCAATTCGATCACCCATTCATTTTGCCTTTAAGTCTTTTGTTTTTTCTTTCTTAATTCAATTAAACTATAAATAACCTATTTTGTTTAAAAGTAACGACACTTCAAACTATTGATTCATAATATTCCACTCAGACGCCCTTTAAAAGTAGCCACACGCGAGAATAATCGAATACAGTTGTGTTACAATAATATAACTACACGGCACTTGCACTCCGCCAYATGACGTCATATCCGTGCAATGTTGATCGTAATATTGTAGTGATAATGCGCAGTCTCATCTTCACTCCAGCTCAAAAAATACATTTAAAAAGTCTGAAGTGACTAGCGGCTTCCTAAAATAGCAAAGACGTCGCGCTATATTCCGTTAAGTATATATTGGCATGCACTGTGGTGAGTTTTGCCTCTAAAACAAAATCTAAGGAAAACATGCTAGGTCTCACCTATAAAAGGTTGAAGAATATATAAACAGAAAACTAATTATGTTTGTACAATACTGATTTTGTTGATATAGATTTTGTGCTAAAGCCGGTTCAGACGCGTCATCACATGGCCGGTCAAAGTCATAGCTTTATGTGAAAAGAGCGAGAGCACTATCAATGTACGAGAGACAGAAAGAAATGCGTTTTGAATGTAGAGTGAATTGCGCACGTAACAAACAGATGTTTGGAAAGTGATCAGCTAGTAGACCACGAATTATGAAAAAGAAAAATATCGAAAGAGCAAGCAATCACGCGCACGTACTAATTATCGACGACTAAAAAATAGTAGAAACCTTTTTTGTGTATTGTAAGTTTTGGTTCCTGATTAGCTAGATAGCTCTCGAAAGTTTATAAATACAGCAAGCGATCACTCTAATTTTTAGGATTGGTTGAATCGACGAAGTCGGTTTTGCTGAGAGGAAATCAGTGCTTGTAGTAGATCTTGTGTGCGATCAACAGAGGGCACGTTCTAACGCACTTAAAGCTCAAGGCATCGATAAACAATTAGGAAGATTGTCATTTTGAAGGGAAGCCAAAATAGTATGCAATCAGCATAATGCGAGGGTTTTTTTTCCGGCGTCGTCATTATAATATTCAGGCGGGTAATAAAGTGTTTGCCAGAAAAAACTTCATCAATAATGAAGAGAAAAAGAAAACAACTATTTAAAAAATTAATTGGTCTGAGAATTCTTTTTCGCTTTCGTAGAAATCGTTGATTCTTAGTACATAAGTAATTTAGTAATTAAATAGGACGACTCAAACATTTATACTCTTCGGTGGGAGAGTTTAATTCTATTTAGTCATCATGGCCGTCGTCACCGTCGTACTCCGTACGAATACGAAGATGCTGCCGCAAAAAAAAACACGAAAAGTCAAAAACTTAGTAGATAACCAAAGACTACACAAAACTAAAAGCTGGATCATTTCAATTTACGCAACAACAAAAATTGTTTGTCTCGTACTAAATCTAAAGAACTAGATCAAAAACCACTGGACGTGGGCTGCAGGCCACACATTGACGTTGGAGAGCATCAAGAGCTCAGAACTTGTGGCCATTAACGGAGAATAACTTAAGATCGTAAGTACATTTTGTGGCATCTTACATTTAAAATTTGTATTTGTCCAGCTCTTTATATCATTACTGGTGTCTTTCGTTAAAGGTTCAAACTTTGTAAAGCTAGATGGAGATGGAGACTCAAGATTGTAAGTACTCCTATGAGATTATTTTTTAAGAAAAAGCTCTATTTGTTTAGTGTTTAACGACGTCATTTGTCGTGTCTTAATGTAATGATATCGATGACTTTCGTCGGTGATTTTCACAACCAAGTTCTCAGTCTTCATCCGGGCAGAGCATAGACACCGATCCGACTAAAATAAAAATATGAGAAGTTTTTCTGCCCAATCAAAGGCTGTGATGGGAATCTTTTTAAGAAGTTTGGCTCTAAAACAGAGCTTAGAACTTAAGACTTCTTGAAGAACTGAGCTCAACCGCTACTTATCATTTGAAAGTAAGTAAATTTTTTGCTTTCGTTTCGGATATGAATGTCCAGATCTGTCATTGTGCATAACGGTGTTGCAGGCATATTTCTTCTCCATTGCCGCGAGTAGAGTAGATATTTTTTTACGTCTCATAAAAGACAGCAACAAAAGCAAAAGGGAAAAAGGTGAATATTTTTTTCAGGTTTTGCGGAAGTTTTAATGTGTCATTTATCATCATCAATATCATCATTTACCATCATCAATATCATCATTTATATCAATTCCGTTTTAGATAGTCATTCATAGTGATTCACTGAAAAATAATGATTCTTTATTCCTTTTATATTTTTTATATTTATATATATTTTTTTTTTTTATTTCTTCTGCGTGAAAACCTCTGCCCTGAAACTTGTCACTGACGTATTTTTAAGACAAATTGATTCAGGTGAAAAAGATTTGTCGAAAAAAAACTCTACAAAACAAAGCGATAAGTATGCAGTAGTACAGATGGATAGTGTCTGATGACTTACATAATCTTAAATTAAACCTGGAAGGAAATGAACGGATATAATTGGACTTTTTAGACCATTGTTCAGCGGCGTAAGCGCGCGAGCGGTTTTTGTACAGAGTGGCACCAAGTTAAGATTGCTCAAATTCCAATATGGCTGCCATACCCGGCCGGTCAGGATATTAACAATAGTGAAGTGTTAGAAAAGCTCAAAGCCTCGAATTACATCCAATAAAACTTGATACATTTTACTTGATAAACCGTATTTACGCCAAAGTTTTTCAATAAACGATGTTTTTATATAACTACATTTATTATTGTTTTCAAACATTAACCGTATATCTAAAATGGCGGTCCTTCAAAACCTGGCAATGGGGTTTTTCCCGGAAGCGCCAGTTAACGTAGTGTTACAGAAAGAGGTTAATGACAAGAATAAACGTTTTTGTATTCACATTGAACATCTATGACATTGGGAAAAAATGGCGGCCATTTTATACTGAACTCTCGTTAACTTTCTTAGTTCGTACCAGGCCCGCTCGACCTGACAGGAAGACATGCTTCCAATACAACAGGTGCATAACATCTTAGTGGTGTGGGTTGTTTTAATTGCCACTACACCCAACAGCCAACAAAAGATTTGATGTATTCTTCGGTATTTTCATTTATTTTTGTGGGTAATTGTTATTAGCCGTCCCAGACCTTCAAAGTACTATAGTTACAAGTTCAATAAAGCTGTCAATTATATTATTGCTCGGTAAATGATCCTTATTTGCTTTTCGATAAACGAAGAAGACCAGGCTTCAGTGTCACGTTTGACAATCTCGTGGGTATGCGCATACGCAGCGATGACTTATTATAGCGTTGCGGGCGGTGAAAACAAGTATCCAAAAAATACCAAAACTTCCTTTCTCAAGACGAGCCTGTCCAAGCCAGACGACCTCCATCTATGCGCCGCTTCTGATATGAAGTGGTGAGAATGAACCCCCGAGCTAACTTATGCTTCTGTGATTTAATCAAAAAGCATTATCTTCGCCGTCCTATACAACTGAAAGAAGTACATTTTACCGGGCTGCGGGATTCATCTACAAGCAAAGACACAATGAGCTGATCTATCGTAAATGAGAAATAGTTCGGAATCACTTCCTGCAGAAACCCGCTTAAAGTAGTATTAAAAGGCAAGTTGCAGCGCATTTTCCATTTAGTTCTGAATATATGTGCGATATCTTTAAAATCCCTTTTAGAGAGCCAAAAAAGCCTAAAGCAAGCGCTATAGATTCAGGAGTATACAACTCAAATGTATCAAAGAATTACCATCTTAAAGTAGTGAGACTAAAATCTCTGGCAAGTTTGTGCATGATTACCTTGAGGGCTTGTTTTTTCAAATCAAATAAATATTAAAATTCAAATAAATGTTATTTTTAAAAATCCTATATAAGGATAATTAATCAGACCATATTTCATAAAGTTTGAATGAATTCATTTGGCACCCAACTTTTTTACTTTGTTGTGAGAATTTGCCGGCTTCTTTGAAGTAAAAAGCGTCAAGTTTTTATAAGTGTGAAGACTTTTCTCGGTATTCATAAGTCTCTTTTTACTTCCTTTAAATACCATCTAGTGTTGTTATATTGTTACTTTATCATTCAAATTCCGTTTCTCGAAATTATGGCTAGCTAGCGAGTGGAGAAAGAATGATTTGAAAGCGGGGGAACTCCGGGTTCCGCTGTGTGACAGGATCTAAGTTTTTCATGAATGACTGCATCTTTCCCGCTATTCGGTTGTCGTATCAAAGGCATGAATCATTCAGTGGGTTGTTTTTATTCGTAATCAGTCAGTCATTCCAGGAATATTCCTCAGTATTTGAATGGTTGGTCGGTGAAAGGTACTCCCTTTAGTAACCAGAAGCCTCAGATGTGCAACAGTTTATCGCGGTTTTGTATGCCCCAAGCAAGCCAGATCCCGGAAAAAATACTCTTTAAGAGAGCAAAAGATCAAGCAAATAGACTTGTTATTGAAGCTATTCTCGTGACTGTAGGTAAGACGATCGGGAAGTAACATGACCTTGTTTAAATCTGATTGGCTGTTTGGTTCGATGTGGCGCCCTCGCCTTGTTATGAAGTCTTAAGGCCAAACAGTACAAAACAACTTAGTTTTACACACGATTATAGCCCATAAGAAAAAGGATTTCAACTGATTATCACTGGATTTATCTTACCGATGGAGTACACTTCTCGACGGTGAGTAACCTTGAAGTGCATTATTCTAAGTCCAAAAGAAAAATCTTTTAGAGACAATTTATTCCTTGATTGCTCTAGAAGTAGGAGCAGCGCTGACGGATTCGTTTTGATTTTGACAGAAAAATTTCTTTTCAGTTGACAGACTCCTTCAAGGAACGAACTGCGAGTAATAAAAGCTCAAAGTTTCTAACAATACAAAGCCATCGGTAGTTGGGAAATGAGATATAAAAGCATTCTATTTGATGACTTTTAAATGTATAAAAAAAATAATTAAAGTCGAAAAACTATTTATTTCCTCACAAAAAAAAAAATTGGACACATATATCAGAATCCTTATCATTAACAACCAAACTAGGAAGATCATGTGAAACATGAAGCTTTAATATTTATGTAAATAAAACGATTCTATTTAAACGAAGCTGTTTTACAAATGTGATTCTAAAAAATAGCTATTGTATTGAATATTTAATGCTTTCAACTAATACTTTTAAAATCTTAATTTAAACAAATATATGATGAATTTATTTTAGGATTAATCGTTAATGATTTTTATTCTTTTTTTCATTCTCTTTTATACGATTTTATTTGGAAAGAAATTCGAAGTTAAAGTCATGAAGTAGCTTGGGAAACATTTTATGCTTCGCACGAATCTATATATGTTATAATAAATTTGGCTCCTTTTTTCAAGTTATTAAAAAAGATTGGAAATATATTTTTTCATTGCAAAGAAGACAAATACCTTAATTTATTAACATGAATTTTGTATGCAACTACAGTTATTGTAACTTTAAAATTAAACATGTTTAAAAGAACATTTAAAATGTTTTCATAATAAAGTAAACAAGTTTACTTTAAACTGAAAATTAGTACATTTTTTCGCAATTTTTTTCTTGTTACTGGGCGTTATAGAGATATATTTTTTAAAAAACAAAGGACTTGTTGTTGACTTTTTGAAAAAAAAAATCAGGAAAAATGAAAGATGTTTTTTCCGTTCCATTATTGATGATGCATGCCATTAAATTTCACTTCCTCTGGTTGAGTATGTACGAACTGAAGGCAAAGCAAACAAGCTGTTTGACGTGTCTCTGCATCGATGTTTGAAGTGTGAAAGAAGCCAGGAAAGTTCACATTCACGGAGTAGTTGAGTTCATAAAAATCGGACATTTTTTTTAGCCGTCAAGCTGTCTCTACAACTGATATTAAACAGAAGGCAAGTTTCGAATTTCACAGACGGTAGCCTTCAGCTAGTACTCAACAACACAAACAAACAAATTTCGCCTCAAAGCCTTCGTTTAGTTTTTATATTCAAGTTTTAATTCTCAATTTCTTTTGGTTAATACTGTGTTTTCTCTTTTATACCGTCCTTTGCTATGGCAGGAGATTCTAGCGAAGACATTGAAGCACAAAGTATTTTAACCATGAGCTGTGTCAATTCCTCTTCATGTTCTTCCTGTCCTCCTGTGGTCGTAGACTCCAAAATGGTTTTATCACTTCTGGGACTGAGTGTTATCAGCGTGTTTACCATCTTTGGGAATACCCTGGTATGCATGGCTTTTGCCACAAACAAGCGTCTAAGGATATTGACGAATTTCTACGTGGCCTCCTTAGCTATTAGCGATGTTTTAGTGGCTGTCGTAAACATTCCCTTGTGGACGTACTGGAGAGCGATCAAGTAAGTACTAAGAAAACAAGCCTCATAATTCTGTTCCTAAGTGTTTTACATGCCTAATGGTACTGTGAACTTCTATGGGTGTTAAAGATTTATTTCAAGGGGCTATATATTTTCTTTATTTGACTTAGACAATAAACTTATTTCCTTGTTCACTTCAGTGTCGTATCGAATTTGTTCTCTCTCCTAAATCAATATCTTGGAACACTCAATCAGAAACGCGCCAAAAATGCCTTGTATTGTCGATTTTTTACGACCGCATTCATTAATAAATATACTAATTTTAGCAACTATCCATTCTTATGCTAAGTGAAATTCATTTACGATGTAATACCAATATGTAGCGTTCCCTTATATCGTGCTAACATAGTTAGAACTATGTATTATTTATATTATTGACAAGAGCATCTAGTGTTTTACCTCCGTGCAAATAATAGACATTCTTAGAACATCGATCGTGACCTTTTGAGGGACATTCATTTGTTTTATGTAACATTACGTGTAAAGATATTAAAAGTTCGACTCTTCACTCCTGTTTCTTAATTTTCTATCTTTTAAATCTTTCATGTTTGCTTTGTTTTTATTTTAAGTTTATTATTTAAGACGCGATGATACGAGATGTATTGCATGACCCGCGCGTGAGTTAGATTAAGTTACGAACTCCAAATAGCTAACCCGATCAGAATTCAAAATAATCCTTAAAGCGTTTAAGAATTTTTTCGCCTGCGTCTGGAAAATTAAATAAATTTAATAATAGGTTCATATTAAACGCTCTCGCCTAACTTGTAAATAACTAATAGTTTATTTTTAATCTTTCTTTTTTGTTTTGTTTTTTTTGTTTTCATAGATACAAAACGCTTTCATTTTATCCGATAAAAAGAAAGTGCGATTATTTTTTCATTGCGACGTACGTACGCCCCCTCTCCATTATTTCAGTTCTGCAAAACTTTATTATTGTAATTCGTTGAATGTTGTTTACCTCTAAAACGCTTTCAAACTGAATTGAAACAAAGCAAGTCAGCGCGTCAAAATAAACTTTTGAAATAAAAAGAAATGTCCACGTAACTATCCTCCTATTTTTTGCTTTTGATACGTTTTTGAGCATAGAACATACATTCTTCTTTAGTTAAAGTTCGTCTTACCAAAGAAGACGGCTAAGTACTCAGTCGGTCAGTTAATTTTTTTTTTCTTTCTTGAATCAGTCTTTTTTCAATCTTGTCGTCCTTCTTCTATCTTGACATCAAGGCGTCAATGTATAGGGTTGCCATGTGGATTATAAAATTTTATCAAAGCAAAGCTGCAATCTTTCTGTCATCCTTTGAGAAAAAGAAGAAAAAAAAACAACGAAAAATATATAAGTACTGTAAGGTTGATTTTAATATCCTGAGTCTTTATACCAAGATACTTTTAATTAAATTTTATTACAGATTTCGAATTCCCTATTTTTGTTTTACAAAGAAAAGGCCTTTTTACCTGCGAAAAAAAAACCCGAATCATGACGCCGGAAGAAGTTATTTTTCTTTAAGGAAATTCAAATTTCATTTTCAATAAAAAAGATTAATTTGATTTTGGGAAGAGCCTACTAAATTGTTTTTCCTTGTAGCTGTATTACTCGAGATTTGTGTTTCATTTTTCATGTTGTTTTTGTACATCTTATAATCCCTCCAACCGCGATACCAATGTACACAATTTCAACTTATTTTTCCTTGCTTTGAACTTCATAAATGACTAAAGCGCCACTATTTGATATTTCCGGCACGAAATCTTTTATTAAAAGCTTTCTGTTGTCACATTCTTACGTACTTTCACTAAATTTGTTCGTAAATGTTGTGAGGAATATATTTACGCTACACTTTTTCAATTTGTTTACTCCAATTTGCTAGTTCCTCTTCCGGATTTAAGATCTGTAGGTAATCCTTATGACGACATAAGTACGGTGCTATGTTTACTTTCAGTAGAATCAAGAAGAACAAGAGGTAAACAGCGGCAACAATTCTAGACATGAACGTCACGATTCATTTGAATGGAGAGTGACAACAACATTTGCCTCGAAAACATGTTGCCCTAAAAACTTTGAAAAATGCATGAGCAAAATAACAAAGAGTTAGATATTTTGACTTGACGTGTCGGTCAACTGAAGATGAAAGGATTATCGTTTTTTTAACGTTATCGGCCTCTTACCGGTAGGACTTTGATATGAAAAAGAATATGTACAATAAATGCGTCAAGCTGGATACTGCTTATCATCAACGCAGGAGGGGTTAGCGGTGAAAGGAAAGATGGGAAGAAAACGGGTTCTGACAGAAAGTTTCTACGGGAACGTTAGGATCTTCTAGATCAATGCCTTAAGGCTTTATGGAAATTTTGCAAATTTTGAGAATAAATGTGTTTCCCATTCGCCCGTCGTGGGTACATTTTTGTGGCGACATCCCCTCCCCTCCCCCAGTAAGTACCCACAAGCACCTAATTTTGATAATGGACAGTTGTCTAAGGATAATTGCAATTTGCTCCTTCACGCGCGGTTTATGACCTGACATTGTCTACTTGTCCTTTTATATGACTTCCTTGCCAGCCGTTTCGCCGAAAATAACCTTTTAAATTGTCTCTGCCGGATATTGTCTTATATGTTATCAATAAATGCTATATTTCCAATAAAATTTCACTATTATTATGAATATATTGTCAGTGATATTCCTCAGTCGTGTTAGACTTGTTTTCGAATTCTAGAAAGATATCTTTTGGCTCCGAGACGGCGAATGATTTTGAAATTAAAAAATTTAAAAAGCACTTTAGGAAAATATTGGAAGCCCTTTTTCTAGTAATTAACTGAGAACTTTTTTTATAGATTTTTTTCTTTTTTCTTTTTTAACTTTATACATGCGCCCACGATTCTTCCAATAAACGTCCAGCGGCTGAACCTTAAAATATATGCCCAGTAATAAAAAAGTGAAACATTTTCTATTGTGTTTCAGCTTTTGTAACTTCAGAGGGAATCCACTTTACGAGACATATGTCATTTTCGACATCCTTTGCGGAACAGCATCAATATGGAACATGGCTGCAATCAGTATCGACAGGTTAGTTCAGTGCGCGTTACCCATCTTTCTTGTGAGCCTGCGTTACTTGTGGTCTGCGAGCAGAAGCGATGCACCCTGGGTAAATCTGACTTTTCTTCGATTTTGATTTGCTAATAAAGTAAGAATCTAACGTAGAAATTATTAGGGTTTTTGAGTTTTTCCAAATTCGTCAGTCGTTTCTTCTTGTTCATGTGTTTTTGTATGTATTAAAACCGACTACACACTACTCTAATCATGCATCTGAAGTGGATTTCCAACAACTCAGAGATAATCAAATTCTGTCTACTATTCTTTAGGCTCCTTGCTGTCGTTCACCCAACCGTATACCGAGCCCGCCTTAATAAGAAACCAAAACTGGCAGCCTACATCATTATCTATGTGTGGACATTCTCCACCGCCATGGCGCTTCTTCGCTTTACATGGAAGAAATGGAACTACGCACTATTCCTAGTCGTTCTCAGTTTCTTCATCCCGTTATTTATCATCCTCTTTTCCTATGGAAAGATATACAGCGTCGTTCGATACCGCGCGAAGTGGACTGGAAGTGTGCTGATTGAGCTCCGACTAGCACGGACTCTAGCCATTGTGATTGGCGCTTTTGTCCTGTGTTGGGGTCCATTCTTCATGTTCAACATCGTGGCATATTATTGCCGCAGGAACTGTAAATATGGCAACGCCACTGAAATCATCAAATGGTTTCAATACACCTCTTCGTGTATCAACCCAATCATTTACACTATACGAAATAAAGAATTTCGCTATACTTTTCACAAGTTGATCTTTAGGTGTGACTACAGGAACGGCTCGTACAGAATAAACTCCTTACGTCCAAGACGGACCATATGCTGTGGGTGTTGCTCGATACCAGACTTCGAGATCTACGAAACGAGATCGAGGTGCGGGACTTTTACCGAAGATCATGATAGTCAAATCACTATGGCAACACTTAACGGTAACGGACATTTGAGGACACTTTCTTTTACTAATTCTGCAATGCAAAGGTCACACGAAGAAACTGATGGTCTACCTAGAGCGTCTTCCTTGTAAAGCTGTGGTCTGTGTTTTCTCATGAAAACTCGCATGCGCCAAAATAAACATGCATCGTCAAAACTTGACTTATTTTTATCTGAAAATGTATCTCGTGGGCCATCAATTTTTAGAGGTAGACAAACTTACATTTAATTTCTTTACGTGATATCACTTGCATACGGTAATGGCCGCCATGTTGGATTAAAGTTATCTTATAGTCATCCAACATGGCTGCCATGTTTTGTCTCATCAGCCACACAGGTGCAAGAGTATGGAGCGTTTTCATTCACGTGAGAAGGCAGCCATAAACAATAGAAACTTTCTGCACACTTTTTGCATAAAAATAGTGTTCAATTCCCGGAGGAAAGAAAATGTATTGTTTTGGTACACCAACATGGCCGCCGTGACGTCTCGCGAAAACGTTCTATAACTCAGTTTTACAGTGTAAAAAATATTTTAAAGTTCTGTAGAATTTACTTTTTTTTAAAGTATATCAATGGAAATAATAAGTTAAAGTTATTTAGAAGTAGAAAAAGAAAATTACCGGAAAGAAGTGTATAAATGGATGACAAAAAGTGGAGGCTAAGTTATTACGATTAGTCTTTAAATCCTAATATAATTTAATATTCAAAGATATAACGCGTAATCTGATTGGTTGAAAAATATAATGAAAACATTGACGTCATATTTTTACTCAATTCCAGAATCTGTGTTTACCCTCATTTCATAAGAGAAATTTAGAAACCCTTGAGGGAAAAAGAAAGTTGGGTATTGCTTCCTATATATATATATATTCTAATAATTCCAAAATGTCACATATATATGAATCCTCTATTGTAACTCAATACTGGCTTAATACTGGTTTCGCCTTGCGACTTAAGCATGCGCATCCTCGAATGCAGTATTCCAAATTAACAAATCTTTGCTGTTCTAAACTATAATATATTTATTTAAGGCTGAGAAGATAGAAAGATAGAATACCCAAGGAATCAAAGGAGATATAATCTCTGTACTTTGAGTCCAGTCTCGCAATCTGTTCGTCTAGATTGCTTTCTGCGTCAAAGGCAACTCCAACTTTAGGCGCAACAAATTTCCGCGATCTCGTGTTTTCTTTCTTCCGTCTACCAAATTTACGACTGTTTTTACACAGTAGTAAATGTACGGCATGGAGCGTTTTGGTCACATTGAAGAAAATAAACGCTGAACAAAATGTAAATACTACTATGTAAAACAAAGTGTCGAATAAAAAAAATGTGACTTCCAAGTCTTGAGATAAAATCACTCAACATATGGTCTCATCAGGCCGAAACACTTAACCATACAATATCAAAACCAGAATCATGATAAACTGACACAGAAGATTCCAATATACGAAGATACGATCAGATATGACATGGTGTTGACGTCTAGGCGGAAAAATGTGATAAGAGCAGAGCCGTTTCCTCTTCCTGCTTAAAAACTAAGCTTCCTTCGTAGCATCATTTTACAGCCTGTGGGCCGCATTTCGTGTATTTGTTTAATATCCTTCCTCATAAAAGACAAAAACTATTTGTAAGATTAAATTACGATTTTAAAACGCGCGTATTCCAAGACTGACATTTTTGACCAAATACTAAGTCAATGAAACAAAGTCGCATTATTAGTGAGTAACAGTCAAAGAAAAAAAAAGAAAACAATGGAATGTGTGTCTAGTACTATGTATTACGTTGACTATTCTTTCACGGGCGAAGGGGAATCGCTCTACTACGTTCTAGTGACGCAAGATAACTATACAAGCTGGAACGCGCAGGTTTTCGTAACTTCTTTCTTCTACTATTCTTCTTGTAGTCTTTTCGTTGTTCTTCCATCTTCCTCTTCTTCCATGGGCAGAGAAGCTCATGTTATTCTCTCTTTATTTTAATAATATTTTACATTTTTTTAAGCTGTGGCTTCTACTTGATTTGTGTTTGCCTGTAGGTTGATTAGCTTGTTGCTTGATTCTGCGAGATCTGTGATGGTCACACGGCCTCGCTGTCTGATGAACTTTGCGACGGATTCCAGTTCTTCTTTGGAGATGTAGATGAACTTACCTCTGTCGTCTATCACCCCTATTGCAACGAAGAATAAAAGAATGAAGCATTGATATCAGCAAAGAATAAAATGTAAGACAAATGGACAGAGAAATAGAGCGAATGAAAGGGACAGAGACATACAAAGTGGTTGCAGAAAGATAGAATGGTAGATAAACAAGCAAACAAACACTATAAGACAGAGAGACAACACAGTTAGTCCAACAGACAAACTAGAGGAGGGATGGACAGACAGAGGGATGGACAGATGAACAGAGGGATGGACAGATGGACAGACAGATGGATGGACAGATGGACAAACCTAGATGGATGGACAGATGGACAGACAGAGGGATGGACAGATGGACAGACAGAGGGATGGACAGATGGACAGACAGATGGATGGACAAATGGACAGACAGATGGGAGGACAGAGGGATGGACAGATGGACAGACAGATGGATGGACAAATGGACAGACAGATGGGAGGACAGATGGATGGACAGACATATGGATGGGCAGATGGACAAACAGATCAGTTCAGGATGAGGGATATCATTTCTTCTCACCTGTAATCTGTTCAGACTCTTGCAGGATCTGTAATCTATTGATTGCTTCCTGGGTGCGCAGGCCAAACTGACAGGCTAAATCCTCCAACATAACGACTTTCTTGTCCTAAACACATAACAAATATGATATTTTTGATGAGATCTTTTTACAGGAAAGGTGCCATAACTAGCCTATATCATAATGCTTGTACCTTGATGTAGTTGATGAAATCTTGTAGAAGTGCTTGAGTCTGAAGCATGAAGTAATTGTACATTATTAATAGAGTGACTCCAAATCAAAACAAGCTACAACTAAAATTTCAACAAGAAAAAAGCTAATGACTACAAGATATGCAGCTATTTTAGAAAAGGTTGGTGAAGGTTTTGTAGGTTTCGTTGCAAGTTTCATGTTGCATGTTGCTTAACCCTTTCACTACAGAGGCTGAAAGGGTCAAACACAGGCTCTTCCTGGAACATAATTAGGGTGTTTTTTATTTCTCAATATCAAAATGAAAAACATATGCTCAGTAGATATTGAGGCCTTATAACACACATCAAAGCAGTTGATAGAATCTGATTGGTTAATGATTCAAAAACAATAGCCCACATGTTTCAACACACAGAAATGTCCTAGGGGATGGATAATTGAAAATCCAAAATGTCTTCCCGCTGGCCCCTTTTGGCCGTTCTAGGAAAAATGTCAAATTTCTGGTTGGCCTCTTTTGGCTGCTCTAGTAGTGAAAGGGTTAATAAGCTTGAAATGTATTACATTCATAAGCACAGACGAAAATCATCCAGGAAAACGTGCAGACAAAATTTGGAAAACGTTCTATGTTGTTGTGACCCTTCGCTGATCGTATTCACTTCACCCATAGTGCATTTTGGGCTTGGTATGCAACATGAAATAAAACCTTCACCAATCTTTTTTGAAAAGGCTGTATTTGCAAATGGCCTACCACAACAACAATAAAAACAAATTATACCATATGTATATAAAACTAACATAACACCAAATAACTTAATTAACATATCTCCATGTTAAATGTTTTTCACCTCTTCCTCTGTTTCTCCAACACCTTCTTCCTCCACCAGGAAAGCTTCTTTCATTGCCAAGTATTCTTCATAAGCTTTCTTTTCCTCTTCTTCTTTTCGAATCCTCTCCTCTTCTTCCTATGATTGAAAAAAAGTCACATTAGCACTGTCACAGAGCAGAGCAGAGCAGAGCAGAGCAGAGCAGAGCAGAGCAAAAAATACTAACCCTTCTTTCCTGTTCTTGTTTTCTTCTTTCATCTTCTCTTTTTCTTTCAGCTTCACGCAAGGCTTCTCTTTCTTTCCTGTCTTCTCTTTCTGCCTCCATTTGCTGAAACAAAAGATCAAAGAATATATTTATTTGTTTTATTTTTGATTTTTTTGATTTCAAGACAAATTGATTAACGTAACACAACATAACGCACTGATAAACTTGTGGCCCTCTTAGCTTAAGGTCTCTAAGTGAGACCGGAACACCATTTTACATGGTCATCTCAGCAACAATGAAGGTGTAACCATTTGCAGATATTTTTAGAGCAACGGCAGCTTCTACTCAGATATTTTAAGACTCTTAGTCAGAGTCTGGCCACAGAGGCTTGAACCCATGACCCCCCGCACAACAGAGCGGTGCACAACCAAATGAGTTATTGGGAGGAAGTTAAATTAATTATTCTTTTAGAATTAAGAAATCCTACAATGCTAATGAGAAAGAAACCCTGTATTGAATAATTGCACAAAAGTACAATAACCAAGCAATTTACCAACCTCTCTCATGGCTTTCTTCTCTGCTTTCATTTCCAGTTTTTTTAATTTCTTTGTCCCTATTTTCCCCATTGGCATCTGATCATCAAATGCCATAGGGAAAGCACCACCTCCATCATCATCTACATCTGTTAAATACAACATATCAATATGTTGATGATTTGAAACCCTAATGGTTGAATCAACAATGGACTGAATGGGAATTGCATGGGAATTGAATTGGAATTGAATGGAAATTGAATGGAAATTAAATGGGAATTGAATGAAAATTGAATGGAAATTGAATTGGAATTGAATGGAAATTGAATGGGAAGGATCGAAGAATGGCCTGAAAGTATGTTACCACTGAATTCTAGTAATTAAAGCCTATAATATTCATTCAAAAGAAGCATACATGAATTGCCAAGAGATAGTCGGCAAGTGCGTTAACTACTCTACCATCCCTGCTTTTCAATATTAATATTATTTCACCCTATAATTGTTTTTCTAGCTTGAAATTACCATTGTAGTCATCATCATCATCATCATCTCTTTCATTCCTTCTAGCGGCATTCATTCTATTTCTGGCATTTCGCACTCTTCGTCTTCCTGCAGGACCAACAACTTCATTCACTCTCACTGGATCACGCACAGCTGTTTTATCTAGAATAATAACAATAGGAAATCAACTTTAAAAGTAATAATAACAAGCTCAAAAATGATGAATGAGTGGGTTAGTTTTTAACCTTCCCAGAACTTGAAAACAAAAAAAGATAAATGTATAGGTTGAATTTCCACTGTGATTTTTACTAAAAAGACTTTGTATTATTGATTCCACGACTTTGGATTATTGATTGCTTGTGTCCCCTTTCTTCCTGTGATGGCATTCTTCCAAGTAGGTGTATGTTCAGATTTTAATTATGATTAATTTAATCTTACACCAGTCCTTTACATTTTAAATTCTTTAGATTATAGTAGTGGTTATTATATTTTATCATTTTGTTATATATATATATATATATATAGCAGGTCCACATCAGCCGTTGGCTATCGATGCAATATTTGTTTTAAAATTTTGTAAACCTAACCTGCTTTAACAAATGAAGGATTGATTGATTGATCAAAAGCATATTTAATCTGCATTAGAAGTTTAAAATGTAATTTTTACAACAATAAAATATATAAATAACATATATTTTTTAAAATATCATAATAAATTCATTCTATAAACAGTCTCTCTTCTTTAGTCGGCAAGGAACGAGAGAAAAATAAGAATACAATAAAATCACAGGATTCAAAAAGAAATTCAACCGAATGTAGTTTAGTCGACGTGTCTTCATGGCTACACAACTTGGATTATTTTCAAGATTAGAGTAATGTTCAAAGCGTTTTTATGTGCTAAAGACTACTGTTTACCCTTCTTCTTCTTCTTTTCTTTCCATTGTGCTATCAATACCGCTGTTAGTAGGAAAAATCCAACGATAGCAGCGACAACAAGCCAGATGGCAAAAGGATTCCACGCCGCCATTTTGTTTTCTCCTCGCACTGGGAATGGGAACGAGTCAAATATTTCTAAGCAGGGGAGGGGCTCGTAAAATTATTCTTCCTAACACAGGAAGCCCAAATATAGATAAGTAACATGCATAATTTTTTTTCCACCCTAAAAACGCACTCACACTTAAATAGTATATGTTTGTAATCAACATTTGTATCGCATTAGTCACAGGCAGAAGAAGGCACGAGCAAAACGCGTTTATGGGTTTTATGATAATAATAATAATATTGAAAGGTTTGCACTTTACATTAATGACCAGTTTGAGGACTTTACGGGCTGCATACTAAGGCGCTAGTAGCAGCCGTGCAGCTTACAATCATGAGTTTGTGCGTTTGTGCGTTTGTGCGTTTGTGCGTTTGTGCGTTTGTGCGTTTGTGCGTTGTTTGTGCATTTGTTGTTTTGTGTGTGTATGTATTTATGTTTGTGTGCGCATTTATTTCTTCGTTTGTTTGTTTGTTTTAGTCCAGTTTTGTTTTGCATTATCGACTTAACATGCTTAAAAAAACAAAGATGTGCTTTAACCTTTATTCAGTCCTTTTCTCCGCCTCCGCCATAGTGGTACACGGTGCCAAGCAACACGCAAATGCTTTGCCTTTAGCGATAATTCTAAAATGGCCTTATCGTACCAACAGCGATCTTTAAACCCACTCAAGATAGAATTGAATAAGATTAATGTTAAAATGCATTTGGCAATACAGCTGTAGGTGGTGACCGTGACACTTAACTTTGATCAGTCCAGATTTTTTTTAAAAAAAAGCTTCGAGCAATCGAAAACCTTTAAGATGGGGCACGACTTATTCAAAGACCGAATTGAAATTTAATAGTAGGAATTTAGCGTGTTAGGTTTGGTGAAGGTAAGAAAATCGAGAACCCCTAGCGGGATAACGCTTTATAGGTTTCCAAAACGGCTGACACAACGACCCAAAACCAAGAAGCTTAGGTAAAACTCTTCATACCCCTATTTCGGCTCGTTAAAAAACATAAATGATTTTTTTTGAAAATTATTCAATATCGATTGAAAAAAGAGGTTTCTCGGTCTTTGTTAGTTTTTGTTTGAAAGAAAGGGACAAATGAGATGCAGAGGGAGAGGGAGAGAGAGTTTGAGTAAAGCAGCACCCATTTTTTCAATAGACATCAAGCGATTTTAATATTTATTTCTATTAAAAGGAATTCAGTTTTACAGTTATCGTATCTTTTGCATTTCAATATCAATGACCCGAACTAAATTTGCACTTTTCCTTTTTACACTTAATGCGGAAACGAGGCCGTCTTTTTTGCCTGAAATCACAGAGAAAATCATAGTTAGTAAGAGAAAAACATGCAATAGGGTGCACGCACTAAATCCGTGAACATTAATTAGTACTAATTAGTACTATTTCATGCAGAATCCTTTGTTTTCTATTGTTTATTTATCACCATTTAGTACTAAAAGTTAGTATTTGTTTCACGGGTTTAGTGCGTGCACTCTAACCTGTTGATCAATACGCCTTTCTTTTGTCCTCATTTGGCTTTGGCATACTCTTTCTTAAAACTAAAAACTATGGCTTTCAGCCTTATGGGGGGAAAAGAAAATAGCTTCAGTGAGACGTCTGTTGGTTGGGTGTCGAAAGAAAGGTGATAGATAGATAAATAATGACCAATAGACCTATAGTAAAACACGGGGCACCAATAACAAGTTTATACTCAAATAAAGAATACGATAATACTTACAGTCTTTTATCTTGGTAGAGCTTCAGAGAGCTTGGGTCGTGTAGGGAATCATGATTCATCGATACTCTCTCAACTTCCTTGACTTCTCTCTGCCCCATCAACGCTTCATTCTCTTCCAGGTTGGGGAATGTTTTCGATTCCAAACGAATAGGTAATAAAGAAAGAAGCAAAGTCACCAAAATGAGCGAGGTGATATGCATGACTCTGAAGTGTCAACTTGCTCAGTCTTGAGTGTGAGTAATGACGCTCTCTCTTCGAGGGTTAGATGAGAAAAAGGTAATTATCAACCACAGGACTTTACTGAGAAGCGGTCACCGAAGATGTTCTCGTCAAGAAAACAATTTACTATGATTAGGACTTTAATATAGAGTTCGCGTGCTGTGATTGGTCGATCAACCTGTGTCGTTCTGCCAGGTAGACGATAATAACTGCTCGATCGGTGATTATGAGGATTCCCAAAGTTTGCCAAAACGGAAGTAATACTAAAAACTCTTTTTTTCTCCGAATTTCGTCTGATATTTATGTCTAAAATTATACTAAAAAAATTATTCACCAAAGATGAAGTAAATTTCGGGAAATATATACCTCGCCGTTCGAAGACTCACGGCTCGCTAAACAATTGTTTATAAAAAAAATGCTTAGGCCCTCAATTAGGCTCGTATTGCTATAATGGCTTTATGTTTAGCAGCTGAGAAGAACTATAGTTCTGACAGTTATTGGCTTTAATTATTCAATGCCTGAGGTAATTATTAACAATTAAGAACAAAACAAATGCAAGCTCCTATAAATTAAACTTTTTCTCTGTTAAAAGAAATTAAAAAAACCTAGTTTCCTAAATCCCACAACTGTTTTCCGGCCCTCAATTAACCAAGGAATATATGACCATACAAACTAAGGAAAAAGTGAAAACTAAGGAATCGTTCAAGTGAAGCAATCGTAGACAAAGATACCCCCTGCTTAGCAAAGGTTTTTTCTGCCCTCCTTTCGGTTCGTAGGAGGAAAACAACCTCTGCTAGGGGAAGACAAAGGGAGGTCTCTCTTCTCTTTCTCTTTTTCTTCAGTTCTTCATCATAGTATCTCTTTTTCCTTTCCTCTTTTCTTTTTATCTCAATCTCTCCCGTTTCCCTAATTCTGTGTTTCCTGTTTCCATGGTTATAGAAACTTATCGATCTGTATCATGATTTGATTGCACGGGTCAAGCCCTTTTTCCTTTGTTTTAGTTGAGAAAAATAGACTCTGCCGATGTAGAACGTTATGCTTATCGCGCCTGCATGGCGTAACTGTTATGGGATGACCGCTCTAGGTGTGAGCTTCGGGATCTTTAATTCTAGTCTCTGTTGTCTGTGTTGAACTATTAATTACATGAGCTCTATTTTATAATAATTTTATGACATGTGTCAGTCTATAATCAATATGATAATATCGTTGAATCATGACTGGCTAAAAGAAATAGTAAATTCCTGAGTGTCATGATATCTTAATAACGAGTAATACGAGTGAAAATCTTGGAATTAAACTAGCTTAAACTAAAGTTAGAGTGCACGCACTAAAACCGTGAACATTAAATAGTACTAATTAGTACTATTTCATACAGAATCCTTTGTTTTCTATTGTTTAATTATCACTATTTAGTGATAAAAATTAGTATTTGTTTCACGGATTTAGTGTGAGCACTCTAATATATGAATTTATTATACTGTAGATATCGATGAAATACCAGGTTTTCTCTAGTGTCGAAAACTTGATATCTTTCAACAGTGGAAGATAACACATATTTCACACGTGAAGATAGGCGCTGTTGAATCGGCTTGCTATTTTAATGAAGAATTTTTGAGCTTTTGTTTTATTTAAGTTTCATCGATATCTATATAATAAACATAGCCGCTTGGAGATACGAATTTTATCTTCTCGTGTTCAATTAAGATATCTCACTCGTTCGCACTCGAAGATAAAAGAATCTCTATTATGAAACTCAAAAGAATAATCCTAAAAATAACTGAACAAATGGGTAAAAACTGTGTAGGGCCGCGTAACCAGAGGTACACATGCTAATGGAAGGAGCTAAGAGGTTTACTTGTGAATTCAATGCATTCATTATCTAAACTTTTGTTATATTTGCTCATTCGCACTATATGTACCCGGTCAAAAACCGGTTTTAACCGGGGTTTTTTTTTCGTTTTTTTTTTTTTTTTTCCTTTTTCTTTTAGTAGTTAAAGACCACTTTTAGGGTCATATTCAGAATTGTTCACTACCCCCCTTTCTTTTATGCATTATAGGCCCACACGATGTTGACGTCATCTACCCTTCTAGTGCTACCTTTCAACCAATCAAACTCGTCTGGGAATCGCACCCAGTCCTCTCGACTTACGTCAAGCGTGCTCTACTTACACTAAAGGAGTTGTGGTGGGGTTTTCAAGGTGGTCTAGGAATTACAAATGGTCAACATAAAAATGACAACAAAGTCAGTTTTTACATCAGTAATTTTTTATTAGATCGGTAAAAAATCTTTACAGCTTTTTCAATGTCTTATCTCATTGAACTAGTATTTTATAAATAGTTATGTACGTACATTTATCTAGCAAACAAATTTTTAAAATTATTTAATGATGAAATTTATAGATGTAGACTGCGGTTCAATCCAACCTGGAAAAGAAAGAAAAATTAACTCTTTATAAAATAAAAATGATTGTTGGAAACAAATTTGCACAATATCAAAGTACAAAATTCTAACGGATGCATTTGATGGATCAACCGGTTCTCTCCCAAGCATGCGCAGTAGGCTTACTTCGGAAATGGCAGCGGTCTCAAAGTCGTCCCAGCCTAAAAATTCAGAGAAAGAACAAACAAAACAGGAAAAAAGAGTCAGTAATTGAAGTCTAATACACCAAAAATGAAGAAATACATTATATACTCCACTGAAACTGTTACCCAGCAACAGAACTGATCTGTTACCCAGCAACAGAATCCGGTGATCACTGAGTAAGGACAGAACGGAACCTGGAAGTGGTTTTGGGTCACCACCTGCAAAATACTAACGAAAGAAAAAAGAGAAAACAAGTTAAATCATGTAATATTTCTTAATACCAAGGCTGTAAAAAAATACGCTTTAGTGAAATGAAAATAAGGTGGCACAAGTTTAACTCTCAAGATGAATATTCTGAAAAATAAAAATGAAAAAATTTATGTGTTAGTGAATGAAATCGTGGGCGATTTAGTGTACAACGCTAGACTTGGGCTCAAGACGTTTTGCTCAACAAGTACAGCAGTGTAAACTAATTCAATTCGTTTATTATTATTTATATTTTAGTTTATTTTTAATTTAAAAAGGGGAGCTGAAAATCAAAGAAATCATTAGCGTATCTGAAAATCAGAATATAGTTAGTATAGCTGAAATGAAAATGGTCGTTAGAATTTTCGCAAGGGATGGCATATTCCAGAGATTTAACCAAACTAAGCGAGCTGTGTCAGCAGCTCTTTACAAGTAGGGCAGACCCTACCAATACTTACTCCAGTCAGCTCCAGAATATACCAAGGGGAGGATATTCGATCAAAATCAATAAAAGTAAGCGAACTGTGCCACCAGTTCTTTGTAAGTAGGTCAGAACCTACCAGACTTACATCTATCGACGATGGAATATCCCTAGATTCCGACAATACCGTTTTAGTTTTAAAAACATTACCCAGAAACTGGTAATCCAGACAAGACCAAAAGATTAAATTCAATAAAGGTAAATAGTAAACATAAACGTAAATTATAAATATTTCACTTTATTTCATCTTCAAATTATTACAATCAGAACAGTTATAGTACAAGTAATGTTTACAGCATATTTCAAAAAATAAATAAATAAATAAATGAACACACTATAACCTCACTTTCACTCACACACACAAATAAGAACTTCAAATTCTCCTTTGAAATAATATTCAATTAAACAAAAGATGAGAAATGTTTCCCCTTCACTCAAAAAAAATGTAATCTATGAGCCTATACTTATAAATATAACTTGAAAAACCTTGAAATAATCGGTAAAACAAGAGTATGAGCTTATGTTTGTAAGTATGGAAACCAAATAACTGGTAATCTATGAGCCTATACTTATAAATATAATTTGAAAAACCTTGAAATAATCGGTAAAACAAGAGTATGAGCTTATGTTTGTAAGTATGGAAACCAAATAACTGGTAATCTATGAGCCTATATTTATAAATATAACTTGAAAAACCTGGCAATCGGTAACGAAAGTCTATTATAGTCTATATTTGTAAGTATGGAATCTTGATAACCGGGCCAAAATGAAAACTACATCCGAAACATTAAAAAAAAAAGCAAATAAACAAATGTATCATATAATTTGCGCACTTTTCATAGAAAAAGTGCGCAGGTTTTAGGTTAGTGCTCAACGTTTTGATTCATAAATTATTAATATAAATCAAAATATTGAGATGACTGGAAATTCAATTGCAGCAAGTGCGCAATTGACATGTATTTGATAAAATGCACAAAAATGATATAATAACAGAGCAAAGATGCACCGAGGGGAGCGGGAACGGGGACAGCAAAACTCCTGTCCCATCCTCCCCACCTCGATCCGCCTTTGCTCGGTGCTAGGCCCTAAAGCTACCAGTGAATATTAAAAAAACTATCGTGGATTGAAGTGAAGTCTTGCTGCAACCAAGTTTGGTTGTTCTTGGAAGACCTGCAAAGCAAGGTTTTTAAATGTCATGGATGTAAGGGGTTAATGGAAAATATCAATGCTAATGTCATTGATCGGTTTTCCATCGATATTTATACTCTCATGACATTTAGCATTAGTATTGTAGAACCGTCATTGAGATCTCACACGTGTAGTCAGGGTTTGTAGGAAAATATCATCCACATTTTTTAACTTCATAAGAAAAAAAAGGTACAATCGTTATGAAAAGGCATTTAATATGAAAAAAAATTTGGTCGTTCAGTTTTAAGACAGACCCTGACTGTGAGACCGAGTAGTGTGGCCAGAACCTTACAAGGCCGGAATCGGAGCCAACTTAACCCTAGGCGCAGTTTGATACATACCGAAAACTAGCTAACTGACCACAACCGCACAATACAATGACAGAACTCCATCTACTCTAAATCAAGGACCACAACACAGTTTATGCTCTACACGAGCTGTAGTTGAAGAACGTTCCAGATCCAGCGTACTCGGGGTTTCTTTGTTACCAACGTACTCTTGGTCCTAATCTTCAGTGAAAATCTATCCTAATTGGTCGATTTGACCCTGGCCGATTGACCAGTCAAAAAACACTAAAATCCCCACCTAGTTTTATTGGTAGCTTTTAACGTCTTTTCCCCTGGGCTCCATACTTGGTATTTCTGGAGCCCTCTTAATTCTAATCCTAACTTTATGTAAATTTAAAATGGCAGCTTTTGGTTTTTGACTCGTTCAAATGCCAAAAAGATAACATTTCATTCAATAAATGGTATTTTGTAAGTCGTAATTAAACCAAAAGCTGAGAAAATTTATTGTTTATTTAGTTCCATATTTGATTTAGGAACAGTTTTCCCCAAAGGACACAAGACCTCTCAAACAAGCATGAAACAAATTAACCGGCCCAAAACTAAACAGTAGTTTATAAAGATGAAAAGTCGGCTTTTTGGAACAATTTTTAAGCTTGTTTAAGATTCATTGTGTAGCAAACAAGAAAAATTCAATACTTAAGATTCGTCTTCTCTTGATAAGGCCATTCTTGTCTGTATGCCTGGAGATAAATAAAAAGTACTGTTAGGAATGAATGATGATTTACTAAGAAACGTATTCTTTTGCGGGTTAGTAAAAAATAACCTAATTATATTGACGAACTCCTAGAAAGTCAGTGTTTTTTGTGAAGAGCAAACCTTCTAATTAACTTGTTTTCCGAAACGTGACACAAAACAGCGTTACACTCCTATAAATATAGTGAAAATAAAGTGTAACTCTACTATCTAAAACAATCAGTGAAATGCTTTCAGGACTAGTTAGAATAGATACGAAACTTCGTTCACTTTTATTTGGAAAGTTATTCAAAATGCCTTTAATTCGTTTTTTTACGGAGCAAAAAATCAAACACTCAAGCTGGACGTGTAATTGTCACAATTTCAAAGCAAATACCAGTTTTGGTCAATGAAAATGGGCTTTTTAAAGCTCTCTGCAACTAGAAGCTTCGTATTTCGATATTTTTATAAACTGGTAAAATGTTCTCCTTCGTTTTTTTACTGAGAGAAAATTGAAACACTTGAAACTGGACGTGCAGCTTCTGCATAAATTCAAGAAATAGAAGCTTTGGTCAATGAAAACTAGCTTTCGAATCTTTCTACAATTAAAAGTTCGGTTTTTGGATAATTTCGTACAATTTAAATCTATAGTAAATCCAATACAGAACAGAAAGCAAAGAAAAACTAAATCAAAAGAAGACACTTACCAAGATATGTTCTTACTGACGACCTTCAAACCAATCTCACCAAAGACAACGTGCTCTTGATTTATATATCCAGCTGATGATCATGTGACATAACATGTCAATCACCTGTTTTCATCCAATAGGATTTAAGCTCTTTAGAATATCTATCCTATGATTGGTCAAATTATAGAATATATTTCATTTCTTGATGAGGCGATAATTTTGGCGCGAAAATAAGTGCAAACACATTCCGCGTGCATTCCGCAGTTCTATGCGTGCGGTTATTTGTGAAGTTGCAAAAATCTAACAGCAAACTGTTGGATACAGTGCTGCGAGTATGCGTGGAATAACGTCTGAGTGATTTTGGTTGCTGCATGTTTTGTGTAGGAAATTTTTGATAAAAGGTGCCTTATAGTGTGCTTTATTGAAGAAATGAAAAACGCGCGCGCGTGCTGTGTGCAGTTATAAAGCAGGGGTTGGCAGAACACGAGAAAAGTGTTAGAGGAAACATTGTTTTCGTAGTTGTGTTATTGAACCAAAAACAACGATTTGCGCATTGCAATTCCATAGTCATCAAAACTAACGACGGCGTGACGACAATGAGACATATGACGAGTGTCACATATGACTGAAGTGCCGTCAACTGATCTTTTTCTTCGATGGCTCAAAGGGCGAAAAGAAAAACTCCAATAAAAATTATCAACCAAACATTGCTGAAAAATTACCAATTCTGTGTGAGGAAAAACGTGGACGTATTGCAGTGCATTGAAGAAATCAGTTAAGGGAACATTTTTCGAAGATGGCGTCTATCTCATTCCCCCAAAAACAGTCCCATAATGCACTGCAGTACCAACTCAAATGAAAGAGAGTTTGCAAAGGAGAGAGGAGGAGGGGAAAAAAATAAATAAAAGACACAACTTTTTATCAATACTTTTTTATTCTAAGTAATTCATAAAGAGCACTTTAGGGACACCAATCCATGCATACTAATTAGTTTTTCAGATCACGTGGCAGGCAACTGTTATATTTTAATTTATGCCACTTTTTTGATCGATTTAATGTTTATCTTCGTTTATAAGAGTTTTCTAAGGGGTTCGCTTAGACATGACTGCCTCGACACGTGATCAGTTCTTTGTGTTTCGGGTCTTTTTTCTTTCGTCTTCTTTGGACTTACACTGCACTAACCCTGTATTGATGAAACAACAGAATCGAACCGTAAACATCTAGACTGAATAACAAGTACAAATGCAGTAGAAATACTAAAACATAACCAAAGAACCCAACACAAACGATAACAGCAGTAAAGCAACAGAGGCGGAAGATCCTCACCCCTCTACCTGTCAGTTTACAAAACCACAACAATCACGACTTCATTCCCTTGAAGCTCTCTACACAGATATATAGATCATTTTGATTCAAGTAGAATTCGTCTTGGTTGAGAAATCCGGCGTCAAAAATTGAAAACTGAGGGGCATTTTTAAAAAGTGTGTATCAAGCTTCCCTCAAGCCTAAAGGATCTCTTCCTGATTTCAAAGTCCAAACCACCAAAGGTTTCAGTCATTTCGAGCTAATTCTCACAGAGATATTCTTCTTTTCGTGGATTTGTCTCTTTAAAAGGATACTTAAATACTTATTTATGCTCTTAGTTGACGTCACCTCGTGATTTCTATATTGAATATCTCGGCAACGAAAAGAAAAAAGAAATCAAAAAGAAAGTAAAGGCCATTCTTTATTTCACTTAGGGCTTTAAAATCAGGAAGAGATCCCGTAGGCTTGATAGCCACTTTAAAGATAGATCACTTTGATTCGATTATATAGTTTGTTTTAATGAGTTGTGAAATCGTCGAAAATTAAAACTTGCTGCAAGGGAATTTAGTCAGTTCTTAAGGCTGTTCCCAGCAGCCGGGTATATATATAGATATGAGACGGGGTGAATAACTTACGGATTTTTAACCGATTGAATGCCTTTCCTCATTTCTTCGGGGAGCTCTTCCATAATTTCAGCCACTTTGTTTCTTTTTCTCTCGATTGACTTTTTATTTTCATTCCGCGCTTGTTTCTTCACTTTGTTGGTGACTAGCTGACGCTTTGTTGCTGTGTATGAACTGTTGAACAAAATAAACAAACATGGGCTTATAACATGAGCCTTGGTACTTGGATGTTTGAGTTAGCAAAACAATGAAAAAAAAAAAAAAAAAAAAGAAATTAGGCTCATTTTGATGGTTTTTCCCCAACTCGCGAATATATATATAATATGCTTACATGTGCTTGCTCTTAATAGATTTTATGCCTTTTATCATTTCCTCAGGCAGATTATCGATTTCGCTTTTCTTTTTATGGACATTTTTCTTGTTGCTAGCAACCCTCATTTCTTTCTTAAACTTTGTTATGTCTAGGGACATAAAACTTGGTCTTTTTTCTTCGTCACGAGGGCTCTCTTCTTTAGCAAAACTGCAGAGTGATAAACTAAGCAAACTTGCATGTAAAAGACAAGTGAAGAAACGCATATTTGAGCGGTGAAAAGCGACTGGAATTGAACACAGCCTCGACTAAGGAGTTTTACCACAAGAGTAAGGCAACAACAGTTGTTAGAGTCTAAACAACTAGAGAATGAAACAAGTAAACACAGACCACTCTTATGTAGCCAATGAAGAATTCATTAGAAATTTGCACAACAAAGAAGGGAATTAGGGCATGTTTACTTGGACCTCAGTTTTTTGGCCAAGACATTTAATCCCTAGACGATATACGGCTACTTCAAAAACAAGCTGAAACAAAATTGTCATCTTATACTGAAATGACGCAAATTATAGGTGTCACAGACAAAATTCTTCATAAACTTATCAAGATCTTATTCTCTTTGTGAGGTCTAAATAATAATCACCTTCAATCTATTCTTAATCTTAATGATAAAAAAATGAAATTTCTTGCATTAGATTTGGAATAAAAAATGCTTTGGAATCAAATGAAGGCAAAAATTGATTAAAAAATGTCATATCATGACATCCTTTTCTCGTACCAATTTGCATGACAGAATGCCAAAATATTGCACCACTTTCATCATTAAATATTTTCTTATTAATGGGATTCAAGGAATTTAAAGGTGGCTAGGCATTTTTCATTAAAATTTGAGGGTAGACTAGTCTTAGCAATGAAGGTGATGCCATGCAATGTCACAAATAAATCCTCTAGTACTCTAGTATTATAACCTCAAAGCTTTATTTATATCACAGATCATTCTCATTTGCTTGCATCTAACAGTAAGTTGTCAGTTGCCTAATACGAAGGAAAACTTAAATACATATAGGCTTTTTCAGTTATAATCACATAATATATTGCAGGGCTTAAAATAACAGCTGATCAGTCACTGTTCATGATCGGAGGCCAAATTAGTTTTAGCTCAGTCATAACTCATCTATGGCGAAAACGTTACTGGTCAAAATGACTGGCAAAGCAAAGATTTGACCAAAAAGTCACAGTTCTGGTCAGACACTGTCCAATGTCCAGCCGTTATCTTAACCTCTGATATGGTATATTTACAGAATGGCAATACTTTATGTTTACTAACAAAAAGCATTGTGACAATAATATGCCAATCATTTTCAAAAAAGGTTTTGGTAGGTCCTTTGTTTTACCAGCCAATCAATTTCTGGTTGTCACAAGGTACGCAAACAAAAGGCTCATTTTACAGGAAGTATCGCTATAGTACCACCAAAAGTATGGCATTAGTATGAATTTTTAACAAAATAAAATCTACAACTAGCCCAAAGGTATCCTATGCTCCATGCTATGAGTCATGTTGTAAGGTACAATATGGTAGACCATGATCTAGTTGTACCTGCAATGAAATGTACTATAAGCCCTTTATCAATAGTATCTATAGGAGCTTCCTATTGAATGGAAATAGTTTGAGAGCATTTTGTCTTTAAACATGATATCCACCATAAGCGTGATATGTAACCCAATTGGATTTTAAGTGTTCAGGCCTTTTCTCATGCCCCGAGGCAAACAGAGACTTGTACACTTTACTTGCATTAGGGTCCTCGGCAACAGTCTTATACTTGGACAGCTCTGGTAATTTCATATTAATCTTGGGATCTTTTCCTTTAGATTTTGTCTTCTTAGATGAACTAGCAGATCCTACGGCACCATTGACTTGAGGCATACTGTCCACTTTTGCTTTCTTTGTAGGTATTTCAACCTCAGTCGTACTTGGGTGTTTAAAAACTTTGTCTGCTTGTGATGTTGATGACTCAGAACTTGAGCTTGAAGCTTCTGAAGAAACTGTAGCTGTAGCTTTACTTTTTCGTGACTTCTTATCAATTTTTGCCTTTTGTCTTCTTTCTAGCATCTTAGTTTTCATGGTTTCAAATTCTTCTTCACTTCCATTAATTATGACGACATCCTCATCGGAAAAACTTTGCCCACATTTATGGCAAACAGAAGACTTCACCTCTTTCAGTGCACGCTCAGAAAACACACAACCACACTTCCACAAGAAGCAGAACTTGTACCGTCCATTCATTTCGATTCCAACGACAGGACAAATGTAACGACTCGCCTGAAAATCCTGATACGCATCAGCTTGTTCGCCCTTTAATTTCTCGTCAAATGCAGGGTTCTTTGTAAGCTTCAGTTCTTTCACGTCTTTCAAGCTACGGATGTGCTTGGCTATACCTGAGGTAGCAGAGGCTTTGTCTAAAAGGAATTCTAGTAATGATTCTTTGTTGTAAAGATTTCCAAGTTCACAGGATACGACAGGAGGGTTAAGTTGCTCTTGGCTGATAGCACAGTGGAACCATCTCGCGTTCAACTCGAAGTTTTTGTCGACTTTTTCAGGTTTTTTCTTCATGCGAACGAGTTCATCTCGCTTTGGAATTGTACCACCATCACATCCCATCGTGTATGACTTTGTTTTCAAGCAGTAAAAGAAATAATTTAAGCTTAAATACGATTTTAAAACTGGAAGGAATAACGCAGCAACTTAATAAAACAAAATGGCGGACAGCTGTTTATCCCAGAGTGCTTTGCGCGCCCCCATCAAAACGAGTTCTATAAAATTTATATATTTCATTCTAATCTACTAAAAGGGAAACAGATGGATGATAAACCTCAAAAAGTATTTTCTGTACTTTCGAAATTTGCATAACAGTATTTTTTTGAAAATGATAAAATAATAAAATAAAAACGTGAAAGAGTAATGACGTCATTGGGCTATCCCATGAGGCAATGCGTACCGTGGTCCTTCGAGTAAACAAAACAAAATGGAGGCTTGCTTGAACGTCGAGAAAGAACAGGACAAAGTCTTGAAGAAATACAAAGCTATTAGAGAACATACAGATACAACATTGGGGGATTTGGCTAACCACATATCTAATCTACAAAACGAAATAGTTAATTGTAAGTTACGGCGTAATATGTGTGTGTGAAAACTAGTAAAAGTCAACGACTCGAAACTAAAATGTCGACTTTCATCTATCACGTAGTTTTGATTATTTTAGAGATAAAATATCTTAAATCTATGACTTTGAACTCATGAATTAATGGTTTACACGTTTTATTATCAAAATATAAGAACTTCGTCTTCATGCGTTTATTTATTTATTTTGTTTTTGAAGCAAATCAAGATGAACTCTCACAACTACAGTGTCAAATCCTCACACAATCAGCCAAAAAAGTTAAAGATACAGTTACGAGACTAGCTACCGAACATAAAGAACTTCATGGTGGAATTTCTAAGATTGGAAAAGCTATAGACAGAGTAAGTTCAGTCTATAAATTTTCAATTTGTTTACATGTAAACTTCAATTTTTTATATAATAATTAATCTTAAATTTAAGTTCTGACCCATTCAAATTATTTAGAGTTTTAATTTGTTTAGATATTAAGCGTGGTTTTCACTAGCGACATAAGCATAAACACAGACATAAGAGTATCAAGCCCACTCACTTCTCTGTTGACGTCCTCACTTCTACATAAGCACAAGCATAAGCATAAGCACAAGGATCAAAGCAATACCCTTCTTTTTTTGCTTCTGCTTGTGCTTATGTTGCCTTATGTCATAGTAATGACGTATTCTTATGCTTATGCTTATGTCATAGTGAAAACCATGCTTTAAAGACCTAATGCATTGATAAGCATGTAGGATAGCAAAAGAATGATGTGAGAATGTCATCAAAACAGTTTTTAACAGCATACTAAAGACATTTGAAATAGCCCCAAGTGACATCCTAACAAGGACTGTAAAGCCAAGAACATGTGCGCATGCATGGAAAACTGATTTGAAAATATGCTCATTTCATCTTTCTGGTATCACCAAACATTGATCAGTGATGGTCACACAAAATTCCGGGGGAGAAGGGGGACCAAACAGTGTAAACAAAAGTGCATCATCACAATAATAATAATAATTATTTAATAATCATTTAATAATTTACTGTTGTGCAAGCTTTACTTTCACAACAGGGCTTAAAATGTCCTCCCAAAATTTGTACATGTCTGGTCAAATCTTTGCCTTGCCATTTTTACCAGTAACATTGAGCCAAAACAAGGTATGATTGAGCTAAAACCAGTTTAGCCTGTCATCATGGCCGGCGTATTAGCTGTCGTTATTTAATTTAAGCCCTGCACAAGGAATTCCCTTGCAGAATGAGAGAGTTTGTCCAACTCAAAACCAGTGACTAAAAAATTTATTTGATGCATGAAAGTTGGTGTTATGAATGCTCTTATTTTTTTGTGTTTTCCTCTTTAGAATTTTATATCTGACAACACTGCATGTAGTCACAGTGGAGTTTTTGAAGGAGAGAAATCTGTTCTCTTAAATGAAGTTATTTGTGAGCACCTATTGCGCCAAGGAAGGCTAGATATTGCAGAAGAACTTATTAAGGTATGCAAAATATAGATGCAATGACATCTACAATCTCAGATAAAACTACTGGGTCATTTTAATAGTAAAAATGAAATGTGTGGATCACTACCATTTTATTCTTGGAGTGCAACCATCTGACCAAAAAATCCCTTGGATATAAATAACGATAAAAAGCCACCATCTTGGTCAGCTATGTCATAACATGCATCCCAAGAATACTGCATTTTTCACAAAGTGTCAGCTTCATTGCTCAAACCTCTGTCATTTTTTTGGCTACCCAGTGGATCCAATGCTGAGATTATTGATGAGTAAATAATATTTCAATTGTGATAAAGGATTTTTTCTTTATATTCAAACAGGAGGCACATCTCCACTTGGACAGTTCAAAAAAAGAACCCTTCCAGGAGTTAAACAGAATTTTGGAGGCATGCCGAAACCACAATTTAGACCCTGCTTTAGAGTATGTTTATAGTTAGTTATGTGAGACAGTCCAAAGGACTGTTATTTCTCAGAGAACTATCACTAATATAATTATTGAAATACCCTTTGAATGGAATGTTAACATCTCACCCTGGGGCTGGGCATCTCACATTAGTGAATCTCAGGTCAATCACTCCCCCACCAGAATTTATCCAATTTACCCAACAATTTGCTGATACCCATTTATACGTGTAGAACGGGGTAGAGAAAGGATTTGGAAGGAGGGTTAAGTATTTTACCCAATCTTGAGCATGCACAGTATAAACCAGTCAAAACAGTTATAGTCTCTGAAACTCAAGGTCTTAAGGTTAACACTTTGACAACCAGGCCATCCTTCTTCTACACTAATTTTGTGATCTTTTTGCCTTTATTCCTTTAGGTGGGCAAAAGCCAGACACTCAGAATTAAAGGAACGTGGGAGCTCCCTTGAATTCAAACTCCACAAGCTTAAATTTCTGGATTATTTAAAGCAAGGCCAACAAGAGGAAGCAATCAGATATTCAAGACACTTTACTGAGTTTGCTGCTGCTAATACTAAAGGTTTGTTTGACATAAAATACACCTATTTCGAAGATCATTGTTGCACCAAGAGCCTCAAATGACAAGCCAAGGCTCCAGAGAATGTCAGTACTTTTAATTATAATTTATTCATGGTTCAAGCAAGTGGCTATAGTTCTCCGCTAATTATCATCTCGAGCAGCCTTGCTTGGAGCAATTTGTGAAGTCAATAAATGAAAATGCACCATGAATAAACTAATTACAGCTAAAAGTACCAGCATTCTCTGCAGTCTTGGCTTGTTGCTTGAGGCTTTTRGTGCAACAACGATTTCTGAAATAGGTGTATATAACAAGATAAAAAGCAAGTCATTGCTGTCATGAAGTTGTTTTGGACAAGGAAAAACAGTCTAATGGTTTCAGTCAGTATATTCAAGACCTCAGGCACAGTTTTTCCCTATATGGACCTTCTGTCCAGCAAGTGACCTCTATATATCATATATTTTACAACCATCACTCCCTGTAAAATTGAATGGAAGATACATATTTACTGAGTGTTAATATGATCTCTGTATTTGATATAATTTTTCTACTTTATTGTGCAGACATCCAACAGCTGATGGCATGCCTCATGTACACAAAAACTGGAATAGAGAACTCTCCATATTCCTATCTCCTTGACCCAGTACACTGGATAGACATCTGTGATTTGTTTGCCAGAGATGCTTGTGCATTGCTTGGTTTATCATTAGAGAGCCCTCTTCAAGTATGCATAACAGCAGGATGTATTGCATTGCCGTCTCTCTTACAAATAAAACAAGTCATACAACAGAAACAAGTTCCAGGTGTATGGAGTTCCAAAGATGAACTTCCTGTAAGTATTTCCAGTTGTACTGCCTCTGGTTGTTCCTGCTGATGTTGCTGCTGCTATTGTTGCGGCTGTTATTGTTACTGCTGCTGTTGTAACTTTTGTTGCTGTTGCTTTTTAATATTGTTGCTGTTTTTGCTGCTGCTGTTGTTGTCATTGCTGTTGTTATTGTTGTTGCAGTTGCTGCTATTTGTTGTTGTTGCTGCTGCTGTTTTCATCATTGCTGCTGTTGTTGTTGTTGCTGCTATTGTTGTCATTGTTGTTGTTGTTGCTGCTGCTATTGTTGCTGTTGTTGTTGTTGCTGCTGTTGTCATCATTGCTGCTGTCATTGTTGTTGTTGCTGCTATTGTCGTCATTGCTGTTGTTGTTGTTGCTGCTGCTGTTATTGTTCATAATAATATTATCATAGTCATTGATGTTGTTGCAGATGGCTGTTGCTTGTTGTCAGTGCTGTTATTGATTCTTGTTACTTTATGTTGTTATTGCTTCAAATTGTTTTCAAAATGTTTTTGCTGTTGCTTTTGTTGTTAAAAAGAAAATTAGGATCAGTAGCATGACAGGAAAAACAATTTTTTTGTTTGGCTTTATTGTATTGTATTGTATTTCTTAGGTTGAGGTTGATCTTGGCCACCAGTACCGTTACCACTCCATCTTTGCTTGTCCAATCCTAAGACAACAGTGTTCAGACTCCAATCCCCCCGTACGACTAACATGTGGTCATGTGATCTCACAAGATGCATTATACAAGCTAACAAATGGCAACAAGTAAGAACTATTGTTTTATTTAAGCATATCTGTGAAGAATTCACCTGTGATATTTAATTTATGCATTGAGAAATATCCTGATTTAAGCTTATTTCTTGCAACCATTTTTTTTACTTGTTGTGTAATTATTAACATTTTGATATCTGTTTCTTTGCAGAGTTAAATGTCCCTACTGCCCCCTGGAGATGTCCCCAAGTGAAGCCAGAGAGATACGATTTTATTAGATACTATGTTAAATGTATTTGTATAAAATTATAAATAATTATATATTTCTTGAAAAAAGATGCTTCACATGGGAGGTATATGGATATTTTCTGGAGCTGTGCAATATCAAAGTCATAGCTTAGTCAGTAGTACACATGATGCAGTATTATGAGTTCATTGACTATGAGTGCGAAGCTTACATTATTAATTTTAATCCGACAAAATGATAGACTTCTTGAGTGTAATGTTATCCCATTCCAGACCATGTCATTCCTGAGTATTATCTGTTTAATGGTTGCACATGAGCAGACACATGAATATGGATACAACTCAAACAAAGAATGTTATTCTCAAGAAAATGACATAATAGGAAACCATTATGCCCAATGTAAAGAGCTGTATTCTGATACAATTCAAAAGTTGTATTTACTGAACAAGGTTGCATCATAACCCCCAATAATATAGAATTGCCAGTTATCTTTCACTAACCAGCTCCACTGTATGACTTCAGGATAACCAATCAATCAAAAAATTAGCTTACTGTTGTTATTTTAATGATTAAAATAGACTCTAAAACATTTCAATATCTGGAGCTGTCTGGGTTAGAGAAACATATGCTTCAAACATAAGACTGTAATAAATCCATATAACATTTATGCCAAACATCTTCCCTCTCCTCACATGACAACCCTGATTAGGGGATTGCTTTATACTTGTCTATAGTAACCCAGCTAATTGATAGAGGGCCCCTTGCTCCAGTTCCTGATACTAAGGGTGAGATAACAAATCAGAGAACGGGAAAGCCCTAAAGTGCTAAAAAGAATCCCCTGGGGGTACCCTTTGGGTACTTGGTCAAGTGCTCATTCCAATTATTTATAAAGTTTAAGAATTTTAGCATCTTTGTAAAAAGTATTAGAACAGAATGGAAATAAATGATATCATTTTTGAAATAATTTGCCCTAAAATTTTTAAATATTTTAAATAATTTAATGAATGAACATTAATGAGCAATGAGAACCTCATTGACCTAATCCAGTCCCATGCCCCCTCTGCATTTTTATTTCAAACATGGCGGCCGTCATAGGTCGATGTTTTCATACTGTATTCCACAGGAATACACCAAGAATATACATTCTACGGCAGACAAAATGTTTTATTAGTTCAAGAAGTACTCAATCTATATCACCAACCAAGAGTATAAAGACATATTGGCCATTTCTAGGCTCATTTGTGATTGGTGGATTTGTGGGTTATCAATTACGTGAATTTTGTCGCCACAGAAATATTAATTTAGACAATTTTATCGCGTCTACAACGCCTTGTGTCAATGCAAGAGCTTTACCAGACGATAACCCTAGCTGCTTGCCTCCTTCTAAGAGATTTAACTTTATTGCAGATGCTGTAGAAACTGCATCTCCAGCAGTTGAGTAGTATAGGGAATGGGGGTTCCAGCGCAATCTCAACACGGGCAAGACCCGTGTCAAAAATCCACCTACGGAAACAACCCACTCCAAGTGTGGTTGGGGGCAACAGCGCAAATATGTTAGTCTATATATGGAGTGCGAAGAATGTAAAGAGTTTGTTTATGATTTCTGTGTAAAGTGCTTGAAACCCAAGTTTGTACCTACTAAACCAAATAAGTATATTTGTTGTGACAAGAAAATGCAAATAGAAGACGACACGTCAGCACAGTGTTACGARTGTGGTAAGAATATTCGTAATGCCGTACCAAATGCTACCAAAGAGCAATATTACGCCAATGGAGGTCGTAAGAAGACCCCATACAAAAGAATAAAATACTTTAGGGACTGGATGAGTCATATCCAAGGTTATCGACCGGTATATTTAGACAACGAAGTAAAGAAGAAAATCATAGACCACTTGGAAGAGCCAACCCCACAAAGTCTACGGAAAACGCTGAAAAAATTAAAACTAGGGAAATATTACAAAGCTATTCCCTATCTTTTGTCTGAAATTACCGGTARGYSTATTCCYGAGGTTTCTGATATGASMARAGCCGAGTGGATGTTTTGTCGGCTGGATAAGGATATTCCTTATTACCCCGACGTAATTTACGAAATATTTTACAAAATTGACYCCAACCACCCCCTRTTAGAATGGATTCCGAGAAGATGAAATGTGCAGTCGAAATCCCCCTACGTTCTTTTCAAAGCAGATGTCTACTGAGCGAGTTTTCTTTGGAGCTCCTCTTTTGCCTCCTGGTAGATCTTTTTGCGAGATTCCTCGGAAAGATCTTTCACGATGGTTTTTTTATTGCCCGACTTTAGCTCCTCATATTTCTTTTCCTCCGCGAGGATTAAAGAGAACTCCGTGYCGTTTATGTGACGRTCCCGTAGAGCCTTGGAGACTAAGTCGACGATGGTGTTAGCCTTTGCTCTTGCTAGGGCTATGTGTGTGTCGTGCTTGGATATTTTAGCGGACAACTGCTTCATAACGCCTGTCGTAACGGCGGAAACAATGCCGCAGACGGCTCCAACGCTGGCCAAGGGAACGCCAACGACTATTCCAGGTCCAGTGAGTGAGGTAGCAACACCAGTGCCTGTTAACGCCACGGACATGGAGCCGGAAGTTATTGCGATTTTATGTAGCGTGCTTCGGGCTCTGGCGTACTTTTTCCTGACCTTTTCGTAGTGTTTTGTTTGTCCTTCCAAGTAAGCCAGGATTAAGTTTGCTTTATTAAGCCTGAAGTTTTCGGCGTTTAGTTCGTTAGGACCGCTGTCCTTAGTGGTGGTATGGTAGTTTACTTCTGGGTACAACTGAGGTGCTGATGGTATAACGTCCATTATATACTAATGTACGACGCTTTTGGGAATGATATGCAGGAGCAGCCACATCACGACAACCGGGATTACTGGAACTGGAGGGCCTTTAGGAAGATGTTTCCGCATGCGGATGCTAGTAAGTTCGAAAGGAGACCTGATGGGATTTACTTCAACGGCTCCAGAATGTACAGCAATGCGGACTTGGAGCCAAAGGCGACTGTCAAGGCGACTGTCAAGGCGACTGTCAAGGCGGCCGTCAAGCAGCCTAATTTCCCAGAGGATCTATTGCCGGCAACGGAGGATTACCCATTTTACAACAACAAAGATGCAAATGACTTTGCTAAGATGGTTACCTCCTTAGAAATCCCCGTGGGTTCTACGACTTTCGAAATAAAAGTCAGAGACATCTTTAGAGAGACCAGGATGAAACATACYTCAGGGAAAGAAGCCCGCGAATGGTTATCAGGTCCCAACATGCGGTATTGGCCGCAGCAGTTAAACTTTGCTGTCTGGGCTGCTACTAAAGGATGCGGTATAGCCGCGGACATG